AGCAAACACTGCATCTTACCGTTACTTGTCTCATTCATTATGTTTTTTACACTTGAAGCAGACTTGTAGTTTCGATCCCAATGGTGTACAAAGAATGCCATGGCATCAGTGTTTCAAGATGAACCGGATGAGAAGTCCCCTGAGCTTTTCCAGCATAAGCCTGACGAGGCTGATGATGCACCTTTTCGAACTGAACCAGATGAGGCATTGCCAGCTGATTCTTTGCCATCTGGTTCTTTGCATTGTTTACAAGATGAGCCCGATGAACAAGATGATTCTGCTGCTGTACCCTTTGGCTATGAACCTGATGAGAGCCTTGGCAAACTTGTTGAAATGAGTCAACAGTCATATGGCACTGGACTGTCTCATCCAGTGTAGTTTGCAAATAAGATGCTTACAATTTACCGTAAGTGTGCATTTCACCATTGCATCTCTGAATTGAGGGATTGGGAGCAAGCAAGTTCTGCAGACTCTGCATATGAAGCTGATGGTGAAAATGAGACAGATGCAGATCGAAGATCCTTAGTGCAACTGTCCTTTGCAACCTTGACGAATTTCCTCAAGACACAACTGATGAAGGACACCAAACCTTCATCAAATCCACCAAAGAAGAAACGCAACTACAACAATGCTAGAAGAGCAGCAAAGGCGGAGGCATCAAAAAGGTTGAAAAGTGCAAAGGCTACTACCACAACCAGACCTGCAAGAAACTCTGAGGAATCATGATCCATAAATTTAGACAAGTGTTTTTTGTTTTTAATGTTCGTCTTCTGTGTTTCTGTGTCCTTTTGGGAAAGCAAGCAGCAAATGTTAAGTTGGTACGTACTGTATGTCTTTTTGACTGTCTCAGGAGCGCTTGGCCCGCATCTTGCAAGAGAAGTGCAAATGCACTTCTGGGACATGTTTTAACCAGTTCTCAATTCAAGAGGTTAAGGAGTTTCTGGATATCTTTGAGAGCCGGGACAAACGAGAGCAGGATATGATATTGTATATGGCTTGTGACACTGGAGCCACAGGGCTGACTGGTCGACGAGAGTATACGTTTCTGCAGAAACCATTGAGCCGACGATGCTTTGAACACATTATTGGAATCAGCTCCCACAGAGTTGATAAAATTGGCTGTTTTGATCAGAGATACGCCAGCAACAAGAAGCCTAGCAAACCATCTTTGTTGACAGCAAGCATTGACTCTTTCCTCTTGGTTCTCTATGGGTCAGTGGCAGAGCCACTGCCCAATAAGTTCCTTGATGCTTTCTCAGTAAATTTCATTTTGGTCTTTGGACATGTTACTCCAACCAAGAAACTAGATAAGACACCACTGCCATCTCCCAGGTTCATTCGTCAAGGAGCTGCCAAAGGCAAGACCAAACCTGGACCTGCAGAAGATTCTGATACTGACCAATGGAACGGAGGGGTGGAATACAGCTCAGAGCTTGAACAAGATGATGACGACCTGGTTCACTTCTTGCAGTCGAACTCTTGCTTCTTGTTCAATGTGACACAAACAAACGCCTTTCATGTGCCTTTGCAGCAATTTGTCCTTTGTCATGTGTATGCTTTTGCTCAAAAGTGAAGAAATATATATATATATACACACGTCTGTATCAAAAAATCCACTGAGGATGTTGGGAAGCTTGTGCGCAAATATTTACCTCCTGGTACAGTGTGGGATTTGTACCAATTTTATGCTGCATGGTGTGGAGCACATAGCATTCCTTCCCAAGCTTCGTGACCAGGTTCAACTCATAAGTGTTTGAATGCTTGGCCAAACATATCAATGATTCATTGCTGTTGATAGTGAAGCCAAGGTACTCAACATTCATCCGTCGCTTCAACACAAAGTGGACGCAGGTGTTGAAATTCAGGGATGCATCAGCATTCTCGCAGTGTGACGTTTGTCAGGAATTGAAGGCACAGCAACTGCACAGCAACCAGAAAGTTTTGAGTCTTGAGGAGTGAGCTTTTCAACCTGTGTGCTATATCTTTCACCTTGCAAGGTATCAGGACAGGGAGCTTGACATGGGCATACGCTTGGGAGCATTACGGATGTACAGATCCCACCTCGTCGACCAATACAGCGATCGCTGCTGCTTTTGGAGTTTGCGTGATCTGTCCTGTGATTTGATGAGCAGAACGGTCACCGTCGTCACAGACGGTGCGGACCAGGCTCCTGTGCTGAAATTTTGGAATGTTTGCATGTTCAAGCTTGTGGATCGAACTTTGGTGTTGAGATGAACAATTTTTTCCATGGAGGCCAAATACATGGTACCACGCTCACCAACACTGAAGACAGCGTACCGTTCTGCGAAGTATATTCGACCTAAATTGAAAGTACATGGGGCATGGGCCGCAGGGTGGGCTTTGACAATCATTATTGTGGAAGAAAACAGCTATGCCGGATCCAGCTTAGTCATTGAGCTGCTCGCCATGCTGCTGCAGGACATTGCGAATATTTGTGAGGAGTCAAATCGGGCGTCCCCCACCACCCTCGTGGTGGTGGGGGACAACACGGTCAAAGAACTTAAGAACACGTTCTGCTTGTCAGCAATTGCTAATCTTTGCAATCACAACAAGTATAGGAGTCTTTGCTGGGTTGAAATACTGTTTTGTTTGCTCTCCCTCTCTCTCTCTCATACTTTTTGGTTATTCATGTGATGTTACACTTGCTGACTCAGCATTAGCTCAGGTTCACATGCATGATGATGCTGCGGGTGTCCCACACCCACGATCAAATAGGCCTTCTGGCAGCATTTGTTTTGAAGCTCTTCCCTCATAAGTTTTGGGAGATGATTCCAAACATTCATCGATGAAACAATTCATAGATGAAGGTTATTTCTCCAAACAAATCTTGCCAAGATCAATTGTGGGGGGCTACTCAGCCGCCGGTTGGGGCGATCCACAGACCTACTCGATGCTGAAAGTGCATGTACTTTGATCAGGGATGAGCTGTGCAAGGAGTCTCTGAAGAAGTGGATCAACGGTTCAGTGTTTGTCAGCGTCTTGCGGAACTACAGAGACTGGAAACAGCACTTCAAGGACCATGCGCCATCTAACTTTGCTGCTTTGGAAGCATAGTTTGTCAGGTTTTT